CTCTGCCAAGCGACTGGCAACGTCTTTCAGCTGAAGACGGCACACTTTCCTCAATTGATCGTGAGAAAGAGGATCAAAAACCACGATCTCATCGAGCCGATTTAGCAACTCCGGCTTGAAATGCTTTCTCACCTGATAAAAAATACGAATTAAGTAACCATTCTGGAAATGTTGTTCTAGTTTACAGTAGAAGAATGAAACACTTAAGGAGTACCTCTTGCATAACCATCTCGCGCGCACTTTCCATAGTACACTTGCCCATTAGTCCTCTTAAAAGATACTCAGCTCCAAGATTTGATGTCATAATGATAACGGTGTTCGTGAAGTCCACTGTTCGGCCTTGTCCATCGGTTAACCTTCCGTCATCTAAAACTTGCAGCAAAGTATTAAACACTGTTGGGTGCGCTTTCTCGACTTCGTCAAAAAGAATAACGCTATAAGGACGTCTCCTTACTGCTTCCGTCAGTTGCCCACCCTCCTCATGGCCAACATAGCTGAAAATTTAAAACTATAGTTAGCAAATATTGCTGAAATGTGATGAAACATTGAACAACTTTCGAAAACTGGATCGAACTTACCCAGGAGGAGCTCCAATCAGTCGAGCAACAGAGTGTTGCTCCATGTATTCAGACATGTCAATTCTGATCATCAGATTGTCGTCATCGAATAGTTGCTCAGCAAGAGCCTTAGCAAGCTCGGTCTTGCCAACACCAGTCGGACCCAAGAACAGAAATGAACCAGTTGGCTGCTGCGGCCTACCCAACCCAGCTCTAGATCTCAACACAGCTTCTGCAACAGCTGCAACCGCTTGATTCTGTCCTACAACCCTTTGGTGGAGCCTCTCAGTGAGACCAATCAGTCTCTCCTTTTCATTCTGGCCAAGCCTTGTTACAGGTATGCCAGTCCAACGACTCACAACTTCTGCAATTTGTTCCGGTCCAACAGTTTCCGTCAGCATTCCATCCTCAGTTGCACTTGACTCAAGCCGAGCGATAGCAGCTTCCACTTCCTCAATTGCTCCATATTTCAAGTCAGCTGCTCTAGCAAGATCATATCTCCTTTCAGCTTCCTGCAAGGCATACAAAAGCTCGTCCCGCTTTTGCTTGAGTCGCCGGAGCTCATCAATTCTTTCCTTTTCTTTTCTGTATCTCATCATCAAAGGTTGGAGTTTATCCCTCAAATCATCAAGTTCCTTCCTTACCTGAAAAACTCTTAGGATTGTCAGACCTTGTAAGTTCCAAATAACACCATATTTAGGTGAGACTTCAGATTAATCCGAGAATTGTTATGCAAAATACTCACGTCAACAAGCCGAGCTTTGCTGGCTTTGTCCTTCTCCTTCTCAAGAGCATGGAGTTCGACCTCCAATTGAATTCTCTTCCTTCCTAGATTATCAATTTCTTCAGGTTGACTGTCAAGTTGAACCCGAACATTTGCACAAGCCTCATCTACAAGGTCAATTGCCTTATCAGGCAGATGTCTCCCTGTAATCAGATCAATGTCAGATTATTTCACCATTAATTAGAACACACGCAAAGAAACCCAGAAATCATCTTGCTTAGTCAAGTATATATACCTGTAATGTACCTAGATGATAGCTGTGCAGCAACCACGAGAGCTCGATCCTGAATCTTAACACCATGATGCCCTTCATATTTCTCTTTCAGCCCCCTCAGAATGTTGATTGTGTCGGCGACACTAGGTTCAGCCACATAAACTTGCTGGAAACGCCTCTCAAATGCAGCATCCTTCTCCACGTACTTTCTGTATTCCTCAAGAGTTGTGGCTCCGATACATCGCAATTGTCCTCTTGCAAGCATAGGCTTAAAGAGATTGGCAGCATCCATTGATCCTTCAGTGCGCCCAGCACCCAGAACAAGATGAATTTCATCAATAAATAAGATCACTTTTCCTTCAGCTTCTTCAACTTCCTTTAGAACAGCTTTCAATCTCTCTTCGAATTCCCCTCTGTATTTTGCTCCAGCGATTAGAGCTCCCATATCCAATGCTATAAGCCTCACGTCTGCAAGATTACTAGGAACATCACCACTAACAATTCTTTGAGCCAATCCCTCAACCACAGCCGTTTTACCCACTCCAGGCTCTCCAATGAGGACAGGATTATTCTTAGTCCTCCTAGAAAGAATCCTAATAACTCTCCGGATTTCTTCATCCCTGCCAATAACAGGGTCGAGCTTTCCAGCCTGCTCCACAAGGTCACGGCCATAGGTCTTAAGAGCTTGGAATGATGAATCCCCAGAAGCACTCTCCACCTTCCTACCATCTTTCCCTCGCAACTTCTCAACTTCCGATTTCACCCTGGCTGCACTGATTCCAGCCTCTTTCAAGAGGTCTTGGATTTGAGAGTCCTCCAGGAGGCCTAAGATCAGTTGATCAATTGCCAAATGGGTGTCACCACGGGATTTTTGGAAGGATTGAGCTCGTCGAATTACTTTGATCAGCGAAGTACTTGCTGGGATTTCATCAGGGGGAGGAGTCTGGGAGGGCAGCTTCTTCATAGCTTGGTTTATGACCCTCTCCATTGAATTTGCAGCCTCGTCGCCACCGCCAGCACTAGCAATGGCTTGTCGAAAAATACCCTGAGGATCAGATATTAAAGCCGTAGCGAAGTGAAGAGGGGTGAACTGCGCATGTCCAGCACTCATGGCCAGCTCATGGGAACTGGCAAGGACCTCAATGGTCTTGTGAGTAAACTTGTCTGGATTCATGGTCGGAATTATATCCTACAAAGAACTGTTCGAAGAAATGAAAAATGAGACTCAAGTTTCATATTCAGAATTCGTTCAATTCAACGAAAGATCATGTCAATATTCGAATACAGCACAAATAATCTAAACACAACACACTCAAAGTAACATAATACACACAGATGGTACCTTTATGCAGAGAAAGCTGAATAATATAAAATTCTTCCAAAAAAAAAAAAGGCACACACAAAATTCCATAACGGCATAAAGATCGTACCTTTATATAAGTAAAAGATCTTCAACAGGAGAAAACTTTTAAGGGTTTTCAAATAATGAGATTTATGTTTCTGCGGGAAGTGTTGGATTATGAGAACGATAATCGGTGAATATTGAGATTTTTTGGACGATGGAAATGTGTAATGGGGAGAAGTCCGTTTTGTCAAGGTAAGAAAGGTGCCTGGAATATCGTAGAGTGGGCTAGAAACTGCTAGATTTCATCAAAGTGAGAAATTACCAGAGCTTTCTTTATCATTCCCATACTTGTGAGCGCTGTTCATAGTGGGGCTTGCTAGATGTCCTACTTAGAAAATGTCCAGCACTCATGGCCAGCTCATGGGAACTGGCAAGGACCTCATTGGTCTTGTGAGTAAACTTGTCTGGATTCATGGTCGGAATTATATCCTACAAAGAACTGTTCGAAGAAATGAAAAATGAGACTCAAGTTTCATATTCAGAATTCGTTCAATTCAACGAAAGATCATGTCAATATTGGAATACAGCACAAATAATCTAAACACAACACACTCAAAGTAACATAATACACACAGATGGTACCTTTATGCAGAGAAAGCTGAATAATATAAAATTCTTCCAAAAAAAAAAAAAGGCACACACAAAATTCCATAACGGCATAAAGATCGTACCTTTATATAAGTAAAAGAACTTCAACAGGAGAAAACTTTTAAGGGTTTTCAAATAATGAGATTTATGTTTCTGCGGGAAGTGTTGGATTATGAGAACGATAATCGGTGAATATTGAGATTTTTTGGACGATGGAAATGTGTAATGGGGAGAAGTCCGTTTTGTCAAGGTAAGAGAGGTGCCTGGAATATCGTAGAGTGGGCTAGAAACTGCTAGATTTCATCTAAGTAAGAAATTACCAGAGCTTTCTTTATCATTCCCATACTTGTGAGCGCTGTTCATAGTGGGGCTTGCTAGATGTCCTACTTAGAAAACGAGAAAGGTTAGACTCGATCTTCCAATCCAAAATGGTAAAACCAGAAGTACATACTATTCGGCGTTAAAATAAAGTTTTCATCAAATGTTGATATTGAATCCCTCGTATCATGCTAAATCATGCACAGAAACACTTGCATAGAATCACCATCATTCTACTTCTTTAGAGTTGAATCACGCAAAATGTACGTATTATAATGATGTATGGCTTTCTTTGTCCTCTTCACATTGGACGTGAGATTGACAGATTCAATCTCCATCTTCTCATCGTTCAGGTTATGTATACGCTTCATGCTGGTTTCGGAGTCGGCGACGTGAGAAAGGTTAGACTCGATCTTCCAATCCAAAATGGTAAAACCAGAAGTACATACTATTCGGCGTTAAAATAAAGTTTTCATCAAATGTTGATATTGAATCCCTCGTATCATGCTAAATCATGCAGGAGTTGTGTAACTGTTCTCTCACAGAAACACTTGCATAGAATCACCATCATTCTACTTCTTTAGAGTTGAATCACGCAAAATGTACGTATTATAATGATGTATGGCTTTCTTTGTCCTCTTCACATTCGACGTGAGATTGACAGATTCAATCTCCATCTTCTCATCGTTCAGGTTATGTATACGCTTCATGCTGGTTTCGGAGTCGGCGACGGTAGAACCTTCAATCACAATTTTATTTACAAGAGAGTCTATCCTCGTCATTGATCGCGTTCGCGTGGCTCGACCACATGACGTGAAGACATCGATCTTCACAGAGGCCGGGTGTATGCATTCTGTGATAGTATTTTCGACATTGTAATAGTGTAACGAATTTATGTATATATGATTAGTTTCCTGATTAGATCATTAGTTTGCCAAGAAAACACAAAATTATCCCTATGCGCATGTGATTACATATAAAAAAAAAAAAAAAAATGTTTTTCAGATGATTACATAATTTGGAAAAATTCGTCATCAACATAATTAGCAAAATATCAGTGAAAATTAATAACAATCAAGCGTTAATGCAGTTCTTCCAAAGCACAAGCACGGAAAAAGAATTATTCCAAACTCGTGATTAACAATTGTCTGCTAAATTAATTTAAAAAAGGAAAAAGAAAGAAAGTGCAGTTTATTCAAGCCATTATACGACAATCATTTATAGAGATGATTACAAATAAATTGCAATGAAATTCCTAAAATTAAGAAATAAAGAAGTTACCAAGGAAAACTTTATGACGTATATACATTGTAGTGCCAAACCTGGCAGCGTTTAAGTATGAAACTACTGCGGATCTTAAAATCTGCATGCAAAGGAAAGTTCCAGGCGAGGCCGAATGCAGAATTGTCCATGAATGCCTGAGAATGATCATCCGATAAAATCCACAACTGAGGTATTAAAGACGTGGCTCAATGATTTCATTACGATAACGTATTCAGATTGAGATATGATCATAGGCATGCAATGGAAGATACATATCACAACATAATTTGAAATAGCAGACCAATGGCATGGCTTGGTCATGTGAATTTAAAGTTCTTAGAATAAAGGTTGACAGTGTGCTTTTAGTGACCAGTCAAATTCCGAGAGTTCTCCAAAGATATAAGTAACAGATATTGAAGTTCAACAATAACTCTATATTTTTTTATTTTTTCTTGGGCATATTCTTATTCAACTTCGAGTGTTTACCTTATTCCCGTATCAAGCATATCTATTACAAGTATAGCGCTTCTAAAATCACCAGATATTTCACTTCCCAAGTTCATTTTCATACTATATATATATGTTAAAAGCTTGCAAATACTTGAGTTAATTAACCTTTGAACTTGTCCAAAATGGATGGAAAAGTTTTATTATGGAAATTCACCCTCATCAGAGATCTCTCAAATGCCACTAGGGGGAGGAAATCCCTCTCCAAAACTCAAGAATATAGCTGTTCTTTCTTTTGATTGACAAATGCATGCAAGAATACATATATAAATACATATTGCAATACAATTGAGAGAGAGAGTGCACGAGTGTAACACATACAGATGCCTTTGTATGTCTATCTGTTGTTCTGCCTGTTTGTCCATTGTCTGTTTATCAAATGTCTACACATGTATTATAGCCTTAAATATACAGCTCATAAAATGGAACGTAATAAAGTTTGAAAAAATAGCTAGCTGGTCATGTCCACAAAAAGTTAAATAAACATGCATTATGTTGTTTAAATATCTCTTGGGAAAGGAAAAAACTCACATGGAACTAAATCTGGACTATGAGATTGTAATACAGACTGTAAGTGGGTATTACTCACTTGTACTCCTTGAAACAAAGGTCCTACTCCTCATCACTATCATAAACAATTGCCATTCGACGATGGGTTGCAGCTTTCCTTGGAGGAGAGTCCTCATCTGACTCAATGTCCTTTCTTTTGAGGCTGCCTCCTGACTGCTTCGCCCTTTGCTTGGGCTCCTGGTGAATAATTGTTTTTTAACAAGAAAGATAACAAATGCTACATGTAGGGAAGTACTGAATTCGCCAATAGTTGTACCAAATACTCAGTAAAATAATCATGTCATGTATATGCTGAGAAGAAAAGTAAAGAACAACATTTTTGCCGAGAAGAAAAGTAAAGATCATGCCACAGCAATCATTAGACAATTAGATGCTAAAACTCCTTAACATTTTTGCTTTGTTTCTGCCATCTGTTATGCTATTACTCCAATCAGGAAACCATGCAGTGAAATTCATGCAAACGTGGTCTATCAGCTATATTATAGATGTTTCACTCCCGAGTCCAGACCCTTCCACCCACCTCCTCTTCAGCTGCCATATTGTAAAAGAGAACTTTATGGATGTTAGCCTATCAAGAATCTAGGAGAAAACTCTGCATTGTACTCACCAAACAGAAGAGGTAAGAATAAAAGTATTTGCCTGAAGAAGGAATCCTAGAGTTCAGTCCATTTTCCGAGTTTGGCAAAGTGTTGCTTTCAAGAACGAGAATCATATGATATGTTGGGTCCCTTATTGCTATCAAAAGTGTCCTCCCCGATATAAGGAACTCAAGGACTCAGTGAACCAAAGACCCTTGGGCTTAGCATACATCCACGCTTGAGGGGACGAAGAATTGCTAACCATGGTGCTCCAAGAGGAGTGTCCATGTCATTGTTGTCCAGCTTGTAAAACTTATGACAAGTCCAATAGGCTGTTTCCACTCCATTTTTTAATAGCTTCTCAACAGGCTTTGGCTCATTAGCGACAAATTGAAGGTCAAGCCCATGAGGCATAGATGGGGACGCAATGTGGCATGGACACACCGACTCATAATTCTTTAGAATGGAGGACACAGACACGTGGAGAACATGTTGATTGAAAACTATTAAATTTATGTATTGCTTCTTTATCTTTGTATCAATGTTTACTTTATTCAGTAGAATTAACACTCATTAATTTAGAAGTACAGCTAGTAATATTTAAAAAAAAAAAAAAAAAAAAAAATATTGTGACACAAAGTTCGTATAAATACTAGTTAAAATTTTCCTAGATTATATGTTCCAAATTACCAATGGCATGACTTTTCCTTGACATGTCTCTCAAGCTCTAGAAATATCAAAATGTATTGAAAATATAGCAGAAAAAGTGGAGTACAGCATAAGAGGAGAAAAAAAGGATGCGCCATGTGGCGCATTGTATACATGTCCGAGGCATATCATTATCTAGTACATGTCTAATATTGATGCTCCACCCCAAGAGGAACATCTGTACTTACACGTGTCTCTCGACTCTAGCTGAATCAGTTTAAATGCATTTACCAATTCTAAGTTTAAAGAATATTCTATATAATTTGCATTAAAAGGGTGCAAATTTAGGGAAAACCCATTTGGAACATCTTAAAATCACAGAAGATGAAGCCAGTAGAAAAATGAATAGCTAAAAACCAAAACCTCACAAAAGAAAAACTAATCCAATTTTTCCGAATATTGAAGACATGTCACTTAAGGCATGCAGTGTTACTAGTCATGAAACATGCAAATTCAATCCTTTTGTCCAACTTTCAGCTTCACTAATGCATCTTAGCCGCAGGCCACCAAGTTATATTTTCATCTTTGAGGAGTAATTGCTCAGCACATCAAATCATTCCAACCCTTTCTGAGCAGTAAATCAGTCCAATTTTTCAAAAATCATTTAAGCTATGCTACGGATTTTGGACTAGTCTCATTTTCTTAACTGTTCAAAATTATATATGTTCCCCTTCTATTGTGAAAACCAATTCTTTAGTTTCAAAGTTGCTTCCTCACATATTGAGCCATTACTTCACCTCTCCATATGGTGGCAATTCATCATGTTCTCTAATGCAGTCAATAAAACTCCCAACTATTATCCCCTTTATATGTGAAATTACAATTCAGAAAGTCCAGGATTTCAATTTCGCAGTTTTTGCTTCTATGGATCCATCATTTCATCTATAACGTTCAAGAAAGAAATCACATCAGTGTTGCCCAGATATACTGAAAATTAGCACTAGGAAATATTTTATTATCAACCAACCATACATTCATATAAACATCCCTTAAGACACTTCTTGAAGTTTCAAATACCTTTTGGGCACATTCTAATAATTTGTTTTGGGTTGAACACTCAGGTACGGAGAAAAGAAGTAAAAAACCAAGAACATGTAACCCAGAGGAGATCAATGGTCCAAGATGAAAAAATTTTAAATATGCATTTCACTATCAGACTCTACAAATCAATCATTACTTGTTTATCTTGTAAATTGCAGTTTATACCTTACATTTGATATTAACTGTGTTTCAGATAAATGTGAGAAGAAATCATGTATTCTAACCTAAATGCATTTGAACAAGATGATAACTATAAAAAAAGAGGATTCTCTATGCAAATGAGTTTTAGCATCAAAGATTGAAAACAATCAAACATCCAAGTGTTAAAACAGTATCTGCAAAACAGAAGTCGGCAAAGAAACCATTAGTGCACTTATAGAGAACAAGAGGTAGCTTAGAGGAAAAGTATCTAAAAAATTGTCATACCCTGTTATATGAATGCATAAGTAGTTCGGACTAAAAATATTATTTAGAAAAATAGCCAGTTACCTTAGCCTCCTCCTCTGATTCTTCGTAAGTTTCATCCTCCTCTCCCAATTCACGTCCTACATCTTCCTCATAATCCTGCTCTGCTTCCATGTCCCTTCTATGTGATGGAGAACCCTCATCTTCTTCCCCTTCAGTTTCATATTCAGATTCCTCCTCACTTTCAGCAAAGTCCATTGACCGCCGAGATGGCAATGCTGATTTGCGAGCGATATCTTTCGGGCCCTGACAGTATCCAGGCAGAAGAATTCCATTAAGCAGAATAAACGTTTTAATTAAAGAGACTTAAGGGGTAAAGGGAAAACTAAGGTGGTGTTCATGTTATTCAAATAACATGCCTTCTTTGCATTAATAATACGCTTCTCAGCTCGAGCTTCCATTTCAAGGTCTTCCTCAAAGCTACGGCGGGCAGCAGACCGTCGAGGTTCATAGTAATCTTGATCATCGTCCTAATTAATTAAAAAATGACAGAAGATAAATATTTTCATAGAAAGAGATGAAAAATTTTTCATTCAGGGCAAGGGAGAGAATGTTTTTAATCTTTAGTTAGATACTCACGAGGTGGACAAAACATAAGCAAGCATATCTCATGAAAACGTAATAATTCTTAATGAATTGTTAGGAAGTAAAATTGAATTATAGAAAGCTAACCTCATCAAGTGCATCCTCCAGAAAACCAGGTGAAAGTTGACGTTCCCGACGGATAGGTTGTGTATATTTACTTTTCACCTTCTCCTTCTTCCGACTAAGGACTGCACTAGCCCTAATTGATTGACTTACAGCCTAAGAAGTCAAAAAAAGAAGTAAAATTGAATGTCCAATCACCAGATGTTATTGCATTATTAATAAGCCTATATTAATACTTTACCTTCTCCTTTTGCTCCTTCTCTCTCTCAGGGTCGATGTCAGTGATGCAGTTCTTGACTTTGTAAACCTTTTTGTGCCGCGAATCGACAAGAGCAGTCAACAGACGATGCGAATTAGAAGTCAAGGATGAAGGCATAAACTTCATCTTGGTTAAAATTCTTCCCTGAGACTGAAGAATACCCTGCATATTTGATACAAAATATAACATATAACTCATAAATAAAACAATGATAACCTTAGTCGTTGAAACAAGAAAACAGGAACACCCAAAGGCAAAACTTCAGATATCATACATGTAGACCTGTGGAAGCTATTGGGACGCAATTAAATCCAAAGCCCCATCAGTATCTTCTAATTAATTCAAGTGACAGGGAAGAGAAGGGAAGTTACCTTTCCATGTCTGAGGAAAAGGTGTGCTTGTTCGTGTTGAGCATCTTGCTTAGATATATCAAGCACTTCATTTCCAATGAGTAACTGTAGGCTGCCATCTGACCATTCCACAAAGCGTGCATTGCTTTCAACCTACTCAAGATGGACAAATAGATATAGGAAAACTGAGATGTCCGTAGTTTAGCCCCCATTTGGCCCCCATTTTGTGAAATGAAAATGGGGTGGAATAGTGTTTTTTTGAAAAATGAGTGGTTGAAAAAGAAAGAAAAATTTTCGATTTACATGTAATATTATTTTATGGAAGATTGTGTGGTTAAAAATAAAATAGAGAAAAATGAAATGTATTGGAATGAAAATTAATGGAAGCCAAACGGAAGCTTAATTTAACTTTCAACAAAACGTAATGAGATAAACTTATTTCTAATTCCTATATTAAGTAAGAAATACACTAGAACAATCATAACAGAAATAATTTAAGAGAGAGACTTCTCAGAGGTACTCAGAAGTTCAGATATCAAGTTCCACAATGAAGTCGTGATTTAACGGACCAAAATTATTATCAAAAAGAATTTTGCGCCAAAATTCATAGCTTTACAATTAAATTGGTTCGCCTAAAATGTTTGGACCTTGTGACACTTATTCTCGGAAGAGGATCATCTTTGAATTTTTTAGTGAGGCTATCCTGAGGGACTTCTTTCAACTGCAGCATTTTGGCGATTTGTTGTTGGATTTTTTGCCGATGTTTTGGCCATTAGAACTTTTGTTAGAACACAAATTATATGTTCAACTAAGTTCTCCCAATAGATAAAGCTTACTTTGTGTGTCGGCACACTATATAAATTTCTTTTAGAAATTCTTCTTTGGGTGTGAGCATTCTAGGGTGACTTTGGAGTGTTTTTGAAGTACTTCTTGACTGTTTTTGCACTATTTATTATTCTTAAGTCTCTCATCTTTGCAAGCACGAGCACTATACATGTTTTCGATTTATGATTGCAAATTGATGCTTTCACCAACATCCATTTGAGAGGATGTCGGTGGAATATAAGGAATGAATATAAAGCATCAATATTCATATTTAGTAGGTTACTATTGATGAATATTGCACTTGATAATTATCAATATTGTAATTGATAGTTACCATACTTAATTTTGATTTTTGGTGTGTGTATATATATATTAATGATCGTGGGTGTCCAAACTAATTTACGTGCACTTCGACTAATCCAAGCCAGGTACTCACTTCAATGGTCCTGAGAGGACTCAAACTGATAACCATTGAAGAGCAAACCCAAGACCTGAGCACTGAGCTACCTTTCAGGATTGATTTTTGGTTCTATATAATGAAAGAACCTCTCATATTGAGAGGCATCGAGTCTTATTGAATATCATTCAATATATTTAAGAAAAACTAGTGAACTGCCATGTAGCACACTCTGAACTTATGCAACAACTTAGTACAATCGTACCAATGCTTTTTATAATTACTAATACTATTTGATTGATGCACGAGCACGACCTTCTATATAAAATACACCATGCCTTTGCTCAAAAGAGTAAATTAGCGAGCTTACTTTCACCATACTTATAAAAGTTAAATGGTAAGATCTTGAACTGACAACAATTCGCTATTCGTTAAGCAACAAGATGTTTGAGGTCAACCCCAAACGGTAACCTGAAGAGACTGCACGATGGAGAATCACTTTGTGGCCGTTGCAACTAAGCCTTTTCGAAAGGGGGAAACTGTACTTCCCGCAAAAAAATTAAAAGTTGGTGAATCATGTTGGTCCAAGTGAAAATCTACATATTTACTTTAGTGTGGATAGTGAAAACTGAAGGGAACAAATTAAATGTGATGATATCAGACAAGTTGTACAGTACGCTTTCTTTGAGAACACAATTACATTTGTTGCTGAAACTGCGGATGTGAGGTACATATTAAATGTAAGTTGGATGTGCGTTTATTATTCTTAAATTGGGGGGGGGGGGGGGGGGGGGAGGGGGGG